TTCTGACTCTTGATATATTTAAGAGCCTGATGATCGGTGTTAAGAACAAATTCCTGCTGATAAAGATAGGACTGCCAATGCTTTATAGCTCGCACGACAGCATAATATTCCTGCTCATACGTCGACCAACGCTGACGAACTTCATTAAGTTTTTCACTAAAGAAGGCTATAGGCTTACCTTCTTGGGAAAGGACAGCGCCAATCCCGACACCGGAAGCATCACAGTCCAGCTCGAACACTTTCTCAAAATCAGGGAGCATCAATACCGGTGCCGTGGAGAGCTTTTCTTTTATAAGAGCAAAACTGGCCGAAGCTTCATCTCCCCAATGGAATTTATCCTTTTTTAAACAGTCAGTGATCGGGGTCATAATAGTACTGAAATCTCGAATGAAACGCCTATAGAATGTTGCAAGGCCATGGAAACTTCGAGCCTCGCCAACATTCTTTGGAACTAGCCAATTGCGAATCACGGCCACCTTATCTGCATCAACGTGAAGTCCATCCGCGCCAACAACAAAACCCAAAAACAAGAGGCGTTCTGTCATGAAGCTGCACTTTTTCAGATTAATGAACAATTTATTTTGCTGCAAGGTTAGTAGGACGTCCCTCAAGTGCTCCATGTGTTGACGCCCATCCGGACTATATATGAGTATATCATCAAAGAAAACTACCACAAACTTACCAAGAAAAGGTTTGAGAACCTGAGTCATCAAACGCATGAAAGTACTAGGCGCGTTAGTGAGTCCAAACGGCATGGCAAGCCATTCGTACAAACCCGCACTTGTCTTGAAGGCCGTTTTCCATTCGTCGCCAGGACGGATGCAAACTTGGTGGTATCCGCTTCGAAAGTCAATCTTCGTAAAAATCTGTGATCCAGCAAGTCTGTCTAGCATATCATCAAGTCGTGGAATCGGAAACCTATACTTGACAGTAATCCGGTTAATGGCACGACTGTCTACACACATACGCATGGTGCCGTCTTTCTTTGGCGTGAGAAGCGCAGGAACTGCACATGGACTTTTGCTTTCACGCAAGAAGCCCTTTCGAAGGAGATCTCCCACCTGCTCCTGTAGAATCTGATTCTCCTTCGGATTCATCCGATAATGCGGCAAATTAGGAAGACTAGCTACTTGAAGAAAATCAATCTCATGCTGGATATCCCTCAAAGTAGGTAATCCGTCAGGTAAATCCTCAGGCATAACATCACTGAATACCTTTAATAAGGGCTTAAGAATGTCGGGAACACGAACCACAACTTGCTGGTCGCCCTTGTCCACAATCATATACATCCCTTCACGCTTTCGGATGTTCATCATAACCCCTGCATTCTGCTTCTTCACAATCTGAGGGGAATTAATCTTCGGTCTCAAAGTAATTTTAGTCCTTTTCCACACAAAAGAATACATATTCTCCCTAGCTCGGTGTGTAGCATCAACATCATATTGCCATGGCCGACCCAGTAAAACATGACACGCATCCATCTCCACAACATCACAGACAATAGTATCTTGATATGATTTCCCGATCGAAATAGGTAAACGGCATAATTGGTTTACCTTAAGTTCTGCTCCCTTGCGTATCCACCCGATCGTGTAGGGCGCGGGATGCGGCTCCGTCTTTAGTTGCAAGTGATCCACCAAGGCCTTTGACACTATGTTCTCGCAACTTCCGCTGTCAATAATGATATCGCATACTTTGCCATTGACAGTACAGCGAGCGCGGAAAAGCTGATTCCGCTGGGTATCTTCTGTTTGCGGAGTAAGCAATAGACGACGCACTACACAATTAACTTGCTCCCCCACTTCATCTTCCACTCCCACTTCTTCTTCATTTTCCCAATCTTCCTCATACACATCTTCGTCATGTTCAACGATATTGGCCATTCTACGACGAGGACAATCGCTGGAACGATGGCCCAACTCGTTACACTTGTAACACCTGATCGGTTGGGGCTTGGCATATGGATTCTGGGTATTCGGATTGGGAGTGCGATTACTTGTTGCGACTGCTTCCTTAGGCGTCCCACTAGTACCCCCTGAAACTCGGCTCGAATCAGGTGTTTGTTGACTAGAACTTGCAACATCAGGCTGTCTTCCTTTCCCGAATGACCCACGACCCGAATAATTGCTACCACGAGTACTAGGGCTAGTCCTCTCCAATTGCACCTCAATTTTTCGCGCCATATCCTGGGCATCTTCGACAGAGAATAGTCGATGCAAAGAAACCCGATCCTGGATATTAAGTCATAAACCATTAATGTACCTAGCAGTTTGTTGTGCCTCGGACTCATCCAAGTTATTGCGAGTGGAGAGTCGAAGGAACTCTTCCGTATAAGCTTGGACCGATCTATTCGATTGTCGGCAATTCTGGAATTGCTGAAATAACAGTTGCTCATAGTCCGTTGGGAGGAACCTCTTCTTCAACTTCTGTTTCATCGACCCCCGGGATCGAATAGGAGCCTTGCCTTGTTGACGTCGCGTCAATTGAGTCCTGTTCCCACCAAGCCGAAGCGCCACCCTTCAACTTGTACGACACAAGTTTCACTTGGCGATCCTCGTCCAATATCCATAGCGTCGAAGAATTTTTCGACCTCCCAAAGCCAATCAAGGAAATCTTCAATATCCAAATTCCCATTGAAAGTAGGGAGATCTACCTTTAGTTGATACTGCTCAGGATCTCGTCGATATTCTCCCTAACGTCGATTCCCACGAACATGCTCCTCCTGGAATCCCCTGTATCGGTGACCACCACGAATCTGCATCTCCTGGAAATCATTGTCTTCGTCTTCCGTATCCTCGACATAGTCTTGACGCCTTTGTCGGGGAATTCCTCCACGCCCCATAGCATCTTCGGGATCACAAACGACAGGAATTCGCTCGGCTGGAAGATTGCCAGGCGCATGGTTTGTGGACAAACGCTGGATGGCATCAAGGATCTCTTGAAACCTCCGATCGGTTTGATCCACGAACCGATTGAACTCAGCCCGCGTAATAGGCTCGTTCTCACGGCCCTCGGCCGTGAGGAGATTGACATTCACGTTATTCACTATCGTCACAGGAGAAACCTGCTCTGATACCAAATGACGCAGAAAGAAGCGATAACTTGGAAAACTCTTCCACGATTCGACTGGAATTCAATTCAATTTCATAATGATCTGAATACAAAGCTGGACGTCCTTTTATAATGATAGGACTCCTAAAGATATCCGAATTAATGAAGATAACATCAAAGCAAATCAAATCTAATCTTATCTAATAAAATCAAATCAAATCTAATCTAATAAAATCAAATTAAATCTTATCTAATAAAATCAAACGAAATATTGATAATTGGAAATTGCCTAAAGTAAAAAACTGCCTGATCAGAAAAACTACCTAGATTTCAAAACTGCCTAATCAGAAAAACTGCCTAGATTTCCGGCGACTACGGCGATCACATTCTTCAAGATAATCACAGGCTAACTGTTCTATATCATTTTCAAATGCTAATATGGCTTCCTCCATGAGATTTGAACTTATCGATATAGAATTTTAAGAAAACTTATGTTGTCTTTAGTATAGTTCCTAGGCAAGTTGTTACTTTTATTTTATAGATAATAGATTATACGAATTACATTGTACTGAGTTGATTTCAAGCTTCAAAAATCAATATCATCAAGTGTGCATTGAATAGTCGTCACCCTTGGATTTCCAAACAACAATGAACTAAAAAATAAAATGGATCGGTTTGACTTAAATTTGGTTATAGCTTTGATGGTACTATCTTATTGGATGATATTTCTCTTGAGAAATAATGAAGATTAGTTCTAAAATAAATCATCAAATGAGCAATATTGCCTTAGGCGCTCACATACGTGCTATGAGTAACATTTGTATCTCTCTATCGACAAAATAACCAATTTAGTCTTAAACCTTTTATATAAATGCCAATTTGATCCTAAACTTTTTAATTTTGCTAATGTAATTATAAAATTTTGCACGAAATTTTAATATAATCCTTCTGGCCATTCGTCACCAGAAATCGCTAACGTGGCGATCCATATTTTCATGTCAGCTATCACTTAGGACGGTTGACGATAACTATATGCCATGTCAGTAGTTTTTTATGGTAATTGACTAGAATGGCTATATTGAAATTTGGAAAATTTACCAAAAAAGTTTTAAACCTATTGTAATTGTGCCAATTCAGTCCAAAATCTTTTTTTTTTTCCAATTGAATTCTAAACCTTTTGATTTTGGCCGAAAACCGCTGACATGGACTAGCCATCCTACGTGACGCGACTAGCACTAATGCAGACATTTTTTTAATTACATTCTAATATATTTTGGAATTTTTTTATGTCCTTTTTTTTCTTTTCTTTCTCTTTCTTTTTTTTTTCCTTCTTCCTCTGGTCGGCTAGACCTCGTCTACCGCTAAAGGCGAGGCGGGGGCAAGCCTCGCTCAGCCATGGTGAGGGACCTTGCCGGACCTAGAGGAAGAAGGGAAGAAAAAAAAAAGAAAGAGCAAGAAAAGGAAAATAAGAAGAAAAAAATTCGAAAAAATATTAAAATTGTCAATATCAGCGCCAACCGTGTTACTTAAGACGGCTGGCGTCCATGTCAGCATAGTTCAGCCAAAATTGGCCTAATAGACTGAATTGACATAAATGCAAAAAGTGTAGGGCTCAATTAATAAAAAAAAGTTTAGAACTGAATTAGCACAGTTGCAATAAGTTTATGAACTTTTTTAGAATTTTCCCTTGGAATTTCGCAGTAGATTAAGACTACATTAGCAAAATTGGTTTTAGGACTGATTTGGTACTTATCTCTCTCTCCATCTCACATGCAGTCTCATAAAATTCAACATTCTAACTGTACAGCAATATCAAACTACTTACCGTAACAGTTTCAAGAGCTATCACTTATTCATTTCAAGAATCCAGTTAAAATGAAATGTTGATCCCACTAGCCCAATTCCTCAACGAAATCTCACGACGTTGGTGGGTCCTTTGTCCATCTACCTTTTGCTAAAGAGGGCGTGTCTCATTCATGTTGAAAAAGGATGAACAACGTACATAGCCCGTGAATCTTAGGTTATTCGGACATCATTATATTCACCAATTATAGGACAAGCTGGGGATTCTCAAAAGGCAGAACCGACCAATCCCACTTTACTTTTCGCCAAGCAAAACCAAACCCATCTGTTCATCGATTACTTCCCTCTCCTTCCTTGCTACATCCAAGTCAAAAAGGCTAAAAGGAAAGACAACACTTTGATTTTTAGTGGCCAAGCTTTTTCAAAGGGACCCAAATCCCGCTAATTTAGCAAATTCAGCATCACATCAGAAAAACAGCATCAAATCATGGCGTCATGACCTTTTCAAGAACTTGGAGTGCTTCCTTCATGGAGGGCCTCTTCTGTGGGGCAAGTGAGGCACAACCAAATGCCAACTTGAAGCAACCCAGCACCACCTCCTCCCTGCTCGCCACGTCGGCCCTGATCGCCACGTCGGCCATCCTCAGCACCCACCCCCGGTCCTCGTTGCTGACCGAACCGGCGTTCCACTGGGCCAGGTCCCGGTCCAGGAACACTCTCCCCGTGAGCATCTCGAGCAAGACGATGCCGAACGAGTACACGTCCCATTTCGAGCTCGGCTTGAAGCTCTTCAGGGACTCGGGCGCTTGATAAGGAGAGGGAGCTCCGAGATTCGAGCTCGTGGGCACTACAAATGGGCTACTGTTGTTACTATGATTAACGTTAGTGATCAAAAGATCTTGATGGTGTCCGAATCTCTGACTTCCGAACCGGTTCGATGAGCCTGAACTTGTCGCTGTCATGTGGTGGCTGGCACTGCCGACGACGAGCTTCTCGAGGCCAAGGTCGGAGATTAGAGGTTCCATGTCGGAGTTGAGGAGGATCTTGGTGGGCTTGACGTTGCCATGGACAAGCTTCTTGTCGTGGATGTGAGCGAGCCCTCGGGCAACTCCTCTCGCGATCTTGAGCCGGTGTTCAAGAGAGAGGTGAAATGGGGACGACCCTGCTTTCCCTAGGATTAGAAGAAAATTGTTACCATCGATTCGTGAGTATCTAAAAATATTTACTAAATTTCATTAAGTTCAATGCCGATGTAAAATATAATGAACACGACCATATGAGACGATTTTCATACACCCAATGCATCTTGTCTAGAGATTATATCTTTTAATTCATGAAAATAAGATTCATTTTCCTAAAATAAAAGTCGAATATACTCATTTTGTAAGCTCAAAGAAGTACCACATCACATGGCAATCCGATCAGCATAACATGTAAGTTTAATCAATTTTTCAGTTTTTTTCTCTCTGAAGTTATGATATGAACGATTAGTCATGATTAAAATAAAATAACTTCGTAATTCGGGCCAGCAAATTGAAAAACAACATTAATTAAACTGGACAGCTAAAAACAACATTCAAATTCAACAGAGGATAGACCGACACTGCACATGGTGGGCACACACAATATGCCAAATCTTTCGTACCCTACAAATAATAAAATACAGTGTTCATCAAGCTTGGGGAGCTGCATTTTTCAATATTTTATGTTTTGCGCCTAATTTTTTCAAACTTATAGATTTATTCAATTATAATCACGAGAAGAACAAGCTGGGAATTTTATTAATTTCACCTGAAAGAATATTAAAGGAGACATTCCTTGAGTGCAGATCTGACCTCAAATCTTGATACCCCCTGAAGGGTATCGGATTTGAAAATTGTGTTAATCCAACATAAAGAAATAAGAAAAATGGTACAAGTCTTAGAAAAATTTATCAAAAAGAAAATTGCTACACATGTGGAGAAAAATCATTGCCATACTGAAAAGAATAATTATTTCGATTCCAAAACACCAAAGATTTAGGTCCAAGTTGTGCTAGCTCGTCCAATGGACCGCCGCCACTTGGCATCGTGGAATTGCATGTCCTAAAGTTACGAGGAAACAAACTTGATCCTAAAAATGTCCTTTTTTACATATATTGGATGAATCAATCTTTAGACCAAATTATATCTATCACTTTACCAACAAAAAGAAGCTTGAGCATGTTTCGAGATCCGAGAACCCGAATCACTTGACCGACCGACCCCTTCGTTGTCCATTCATTGGGGTCGGGGATGGATGGAACCCCGAGCAATCAAACGCAATTTTGGTCCCGCAAGAACACATAAGTTAAGGAACATGACTTTGTCTCTGCATGTGAACTCCTTTTGTTTTCGGAAACCGCAAATTCGCTGTTCATTTTTTTAACATGCAAATTTAATAATATGGAAATTCCAAGACTCAAAGTCGAATGGAAAAGACGTTACCATCATTCACAAAAATGAAATAGAAAACCAATCATATTTGTTTCATAACTTGCGAGTGATTCTCACGACATCACATGACAGAACAGTACCTTAATAATAAAGTAATTTCATAGATTCTAAAATCAAGAACACAAATTCCTTTTTTGTAATTTGAAATTTTGTGATATGATTTTTTTTTTGTAGTTTAGTATGGATTTCAATTTTCCTTCGATCAAAATGCAAATAGGCATGGAATTTCAATTATTTGAGAAGAATTAGACCCCCCCCCAAAAAAAAAAAAACACAAGAACATCAAAGCAGGAGGAAAGAAGAAACGTGGGGGCAGAGGAGGAAGAAAGAAAGCTTACTGTAACCAGAGCATGCGCCGGCGAGGCTGCCATTGGAGACGTAGTCGTAGATGACGAGCTTCTCGTCGTCCCCCCAGTAGAACCCTCGCAGCCGCACCAGGTTCGGGTGCTTCACCCTCGCGATCGCCCTCGCGTGGTGCTCGAACTCCTTCATCCTCTCCACCCCGCTCTCCCCGATCCGCCTCACCGCGTACGCCGTCCCGTCCTCCAGCACCGCCTTGTACACGATGGTCCCCCCGCCGCTCGCCCCCAGTATGTACGCCGACGCCCGCAGCAGCGTGTCCAGCTCCAGCCGCGTCTCCCCGTCGACCGTCACGAGGGTCCCTGTTTTCTGGCTCGCCCCCGTCCCCGTTTGGTGGTGGTCGCTGTTTGTCGCCGCCGCAGCTGCGGGCAAGTCCTTGCCTTCGTCGTCCTCGCTGGAGCATGATTCGGAGGTCGATGCTTCTTGGCCTTTGATCGTGAGGCAGTAGCAGCTCGCGGGTTTTCTTGATTCCGGGTCTGGGTCTTGTTCCGCTGCTGGCTCTGGTTTCTTATGTGATTTGGGCTCGTTGGTCGTGGTGACTTTGTTGTCGTTTTTCTGCTTCCTGACTTGGTAGACGTAGAGGATGACCAATGCGAGGACTCCTATTCCGGCTAGATCGCCTACAGCGATTCCTGCTATGGTCCCTGGTTTTAGCCCGCCGGGCGTTTGGTCTTTTGCCGCAGCAGATGTTCCGGTTGAGTTCGCCGATGGATCGGTGTCGACTGTCTTCGGGATGACTGCGATGGCCGCCGGTGACGTGGTTGTGGTGGCGTTGGGTGGCGTGGAGAGTGTTGAAGGGATGGAGCACAGGATCTTCAGCGGCTTGCCGCAGAGATCCACGTTGCCCGCTAAGAACTCTGTTTTCTGATCTGCCCAAGCCAGTGACTCCGGGATTGCGCCACTCAGGTTGTTGAATGAGAGATCGATAGTGGTATTTCTTGGGATTTTCGAGGCGAAACCTGGCGGTATTGGGCCTGAAAGCTTGTTGTAGGAGAGATTCAAGTAACGCAGACCGTTACCTCCGAAATCTGATGGCAGAGATCCATTCAGCAAATTTGAGGACAAGTCTAGGACAACAACCGAATCAAACCCACTAGGAACGCCACCTGCGAAGTAATTACTCCTTAAAGAAACAACAGACAAGTTCTTGAGGGACGTTAGGTTCTCAGGAATACTTCCACCGAGTGCATTATCAGAGAGATTCAAGAACGTGAGGCTTTTGGAGTCTCCGATAAACTCAGGCAGCTCACCTGAGATCACGTTGTTGGATAGAGAGAGCACTCGAAGCGTGGAGGAATTGATGATAGTCGAAGGCAAGGATCCATTGAAGTAATTACTAGATAAATCAAGATGCGTGAGATGCTCAATCATGCCGAGCTCCTTGGGAATTGAGCCCAGAAGCTTGCTATTGGGGAGGACTAAGCTGGTGACTCTGAACATGGCTGGTGTTCCGGGATCCTCAATCTGTGTGCAAGTGACTCCATTCCAGGCGCATGGGGTAACATCGCTATAGTTCCAGCTCTCCAGGACAGACAATGGGTCACTCAAAATGGAGTACTTGAAGGAGAGCAAGAGGATACCATCTGAGTTTAGAGCGGATGAACTAAGCAGAAGGAGGCTGAAAACCAAAGCCCTCAAACTGGTATGCAGATTTTTGGAGCTTGGAGTCATGGTTTCTGGAGCTGGTCACAGCCGCACATGTTGGCTACAAATTCATAGTGAAGAAAAAAAGCGGAGACGTAGTGGAGTGAGAAGATAAGAGAGTGGAGAGAGGGTGACCAACTCCAGCTCCTGTCGTTCTGGTTACCAAATAGATCAGGATTAGGAAGAGCATGTAACAGGTGAAAAAGTAAAGAGTGGGAGAACCCGGTGATGGGTTCCAGGAACAGACCCCCAAAAGCTAAAGCTTACTCCAAACAATGAAAGTGACCCAAGAAATGAAGTGAGCTCACCAGGGAAGGAACTACTAAGTGGGGAAAGTTCGTAGAGAATGGAGGTAGCTGCAGTTATTAGTTGCAGAGACAGAGAGTTTAGCTGAGAAAAGGGGTACTGCCTTCTCTTTTGTGCAGTTGGAGACCATGAGGCCAAGAACTTTAAAAAGTGAAACCACTGTGAAGATAAACAAATGAAAAATGAGGACCCTTGGCTTTGCACTGCCTCTGCCAACTATCCTTTTAACTTTTTGTGAGCTTGAAGTATTTGATTGATACAGGGTAAGCAAGAGAAAAAAGCAGAGGGAGGAATCTAATATCTGCTACTACAGGACAGCCGAGTGAGTTGGAGCCCGTCAGATTGCAGAGGAGGAGCTCATAAGTCCACCCTCCTTTTGAACATTGATTGACTTTCTGGTGCCCCTCGTTTCCCACTGATTTCCCTAACGTTTGCCGTGGGTTAAACGAAGAGTGGCAACACTAGAAGGTTTCCATTTGGAAAATGGATATTGAGGTGGGCCGTCTGGCCACCGCCGGGCCAAGAAAACATAGAGAACTCCATTTTGGAGCTGTGTGTCGGTGTAGCAGTTTTGCAATGTGATTGAACCTTGGCGTTTGATTAATAGGTAGCTTGACTAAAGAAAGGGAGCTGAAACTTCTACAAGGGACTCCGTGGCCTATCCTAATCCTGCTGGGCGGGCTCCACGGATGCGTTTTTTTATTTTAACATGCCGATACTCACACGCTTTGTACCCTTAATTCCTCATGTATCTTTGTATTCCCTAGAGAGAAAATAACTTCTGAAAGTTTTCAATTCCGGTGATCCCAAGGTCCAAATAAGAATCAAGATAAAGCTCTTTAACGACTTGCTTAGGTTGTTGGAGCTGTGTGTTAGTCTAGCAGTTTTGCAATGCGATTGAAGGTGCTTGTAGGTGCCTTTGCCACGATCTAGCGGCCTTCAGCATGGTAATTTCGCCGTGCTCCTCCGTTGGATGGCCACCGACAAGACGATTGACATCAAAACACTTGAGTCCAACAATTGATAAGAGATGCGGCAAAATTGCCATGTATAGAGCCGCGGGACATAGAAACGGCCGCTTATGGGAATTGATTTGTTAGCAAATGAATCTGCATTTGCCTAGTTTTTCTGTTTAGGAACTTGATGCAAATCTGCCAAGGTATTCAAAAAGAAACTTCCTGCCTTCCTCACCATAAACAAAATCAGGACTTAATGAATATTCAATATACAATCCATTGTATATTTAAGCTCTTTATCAATATCATAAACCAATCCATTATAACTCTGCATCAAATTGCTTTAGTTTTATCATAAAATCGGCTTAGCGACGAGTGAATGGGCTTGAAAATTTGGATTAGGTGCACACACATATTTAATCCCTCATATAACTAAGTGCAAATAACTTCATGTTTAAGTCATCCACTTGAGTTTTGACTCACACTTCACATAATAAAAAAAGGTTAGGGAGGTACTAGACGCTTGGCTTAATCGAAATGGATTTTCTAGTCATAGAACAAAAAAATTGAGTTGCAATAGAGATGGTTACAATTTTGAGTACTGGAGAATATAATTGAGTCGTGTAGCTTGAACACAACTAATAAAAGTCGAATGCTTGAACTCGACTTGATTCATAACAGGCTAGCTCAAAATTCAAATGTAGTCAACTTTGTGCTTTCAACTATGTGACCCGAAAAATTCAGGGCTCTATCTAATTGAGTAGGTGACTTTTTACGTTAAAAATCTAGTATTTACTTTTTCTATAACGAGGAGATCCATCTTGGATAGATAATTTCTAAGCATGTTAAGATACCCCCATTAACTTCAATGGATCAGGCAAGACACTTATCAAGATTGGAATGGTCCGGATATGGAATTAGTCGCACTTAATCACACGAAATAATTAGCATATTAATTTCCACTTTTGCCACAGTTTAATTACTTAAAAGGACAATGGAGCCTAGACCAATTTGGTTCTGTGGGTCAAGGGTTAGGTCTGCCATTGAGAACTGCTCCAAATGTGAACCAAGCTGTGAATATGTTCCCGCCAAGCTAATTCACTTGGTCACATTCTTAACCTAATCCCACATTTAAGTACCAGCCCTTCAGATCTAATCGAATAAATTAAAAGCACTTAATCAGTATTAAGGAGTAGCTTAATTTGCATGCAGCATTTGTTTATGATTAAAATCGTGCGAATGCTTGACCGGGTGGGCCATGTTGTTCTTTGACATGTGGACTCGAATTCTTCAACAAAAGCATACTTTAGACAATTATAAACACTATATTAGAAGCTTCGATTATTTCCTTTTTCAAACCTTTGCACCATTTCTTATATTCCCTGTGATGGGTATGCAAAATTAGTACGAACATCTCCGATTTGAAGAATGGTCAACATTTCATACCAGGTACCAACAAAGGGGACGTTAATGAATGACCAATGGATGCTAATATTAAACAAAACATGCAATGTGGTTGTTCCTTTTTTGTTTTTCTATGATATAGGAACATGTGAAAATAATTGTCCAAAAAGTCATAAATCTCTAGTATTGCAACCAATTTAGTCCTAAACATTTCAATTGTGCCAATTTAGTCGTAAACCTTTTGAAGAACAGCCAATTTAGTCGTAAACTTTTTTGTGTCAATTTTATCCTAAACTTTTTAAAGATTTGCCAATTCAGTGATAAACCTATAATTTAGATATTTGGTAGGAAAGGCTACATTGGCAAATCATTAGAAGGTTTAAGACTTCTGTAAAAAAAAAGGTTTTAACATTAAATTGATACAACTGAAAGGTTTAGGACTAAATTGGCCTCCGTACAATAGATTTAAGAATTTTTGGACAATTTTCCTGAAACATGTGTGCAAAAGCCTAGTTATCTGAAGGATTATGAAACAACGCTTTACAAGCTTTACAAGCCGGTTAAGTGTGAGACTTTTGACATGTACGTGATTTTGTTTCTCGCGGTCGAAACGAAGCTTCCAATAACTTCATTAAGACGTAATTTTGTCTACTTAAAGTAGACTCCCGCGTGATAAAGAAGATTAGTTTCGAGTCTTTTAACTAACAAGTCAATGAATGATTTGAGTTTGTCCTCTTCTATCAAACATCTCTTGGAAGGAAAAAGATAGAAAAAATGGAAGAGGGTGGACGCTGCTAGGATTCAAAAAGATGTGGACAGCGATCACGAGCAATGACATGGCCCTTCCTTGCAGTGAGACCCCTTGTACTTTATAGCCTATGGTCCCCCAAACAATAACGCATTCTTCCATTATCTTTGCCAAATTTGGGTTCACTTTGCATTATGATCCCTGCCTTCATCAGAGCTCTTGTGGATCTGCTATTGATCCGTTCGTAAGTTGTGCCCATATGTATCCACAGTCCCACACCCAAAAGTGAATATGACATGATGTGATCTTTCTTCTCTACCATGTTATGCATATCACAATTAATACAATGTTCTAAATCCCACCACCGAACATCGGTTTAGTTCTTAAATGGACGAAGTTGTTATTAGTCCAATGATTTCAACGAGGAATGGTTAGCAGGTAAGTTCATCTAGTAAGTTATCATGCAGGATCAAAATATTCTTGTATCTCAAAGAATATATCCCAAAATCCAAACACATCTCCCTCTTCCTCCATTGCTCCCTTCCTGTCCCACGAAGCCGATAGCCCCACCCTTGCTCCGAGGCCATGCCGTCACCTCACACTCACCAATCGTAGCCCATAGCCATTATGCCGATCGATGGTAACCCCCGCCCCAACCCTCACACTCACCAATCGTAGCCCATAGCCATTACGCCCCGGTCACCTCACACTCACCAATCGTAGCCCATAGCCATTACGCAGATCGATGGAACCCCCCCGGAAGCGATGGTCTAACCACCGCACAAAAGGATTTCCTAACCTCAGGTGACCCTACATTCGGGGTAGCCTGAGGCTGGGGACCTCGGATGTGAGGTTGCATTCTTAGATCCGTGGCTATGGCCGATTTCAATACTGATGAGGAGAAGACCTGCGATGATAGCTTGAACTCTCCCCGCGATGATAGCTTGAACCTAGGAGGGTGGGCGTCATGTGTCTCTCTATGCCGTGCGGGGGTGATTGATTCCAACGTGAGTGGCCGTGGCCAAGTCAGAGCCAATTCTCAATTTTGAATCGAGAATATAACTGGTCGAACCCCGAAACCAGCCAACTTTTTTTCTGTTTCATTTTGCTATCCTCTGTGTCCACCCATTTTGCTATCCTCTGGAGTGCCCATATGTTTCATGTCTTGATGACTATGAATTCATTGATAAAAAGATAAAGAATTTCAAATGCGAAAATTAAGTGTGAAACTCATATGATGCAAGTACAGACACAGTCAGACCAAAAACAAAAAAGTACGAACACGGACGGACACTCAGTTCTCCATCTCCTGGACAAAAACCTGCACTTGTCTTTGAGCTGATCTTTCAGGCTCTGTTTGACCCACAGAAAGTATACACCAAATCATCATTCTCAATTTGTCAGTTATTCAGCAATTTTTGCCTTAAAACCTCATGATCAAAACCGGTTCAATGTCGGAAACCGGAAACCGAATAAATCAAAGTTGGTTCCCACTTTTTTAACTGGGGAATTAAACCGGTCCCCATGCGAACCAATCATGTAAGGCTAGTTTGGTTCAATTTCCAGGTTAAATCAGCTTGGTTACTCACCCAAGCATTGTGGGTGTAGATGCCCAATTTTCGCACTACGTCAGCATGAGATTGTTCGAGTACGCGTGAATTTGTTATTTCAAATTTATGAAAAGTAAATTTATTATTCCTGTTTTATAATTTCTTGAATTTACTAACAAATGCTACTAATAGAGAATTGTTGCAAGTTTATATTCACGTGAGCATTGCTCCATGAAAGTATGACTTATGATAGGTGGCGGGATCTTAGGTTTTTCTTATCTCTTTGAGATGTTTTTGAGAGTTTTGACTTGGTGGGTTCAGAGCGGGACTCGTTAAGGATGACTCGACCTATTCTCGATCCCCTATTAGCAAGTATGGTGTCGGCTCGTATCATCTTGACACCTGGCAGTCCATGACTGGCCCATCCCTCCTGACACTCCACCGCCTATTTTTCATTGATTTCTTGCACTAGGGTTGCCACATGGCATAAACCTTTCAACCAACCCTTTTGATCCTCTCAGTATAAATAACCTATCAATTTACTCGTTGAAGGGGACTTCTTGACTTCTGAACATACAGAATTTAGCACCCCTACCGACCTCAGTGGCTAACCACTGAGAAAACTCTTCAACAAGAGATTTGCCATTCCTCACCTGCCACCAGGCATTAGAGTTCACTAGAATTGCCTTTTCCTCCTCTCATGCCCTCTCTACTTCATCTCCTATTTTATATTATTACTGGGAGACGCTAAACCTTCGTCAAAGCTCAAGAATGTTAGGAGAAAACCCTACTCAACACACATGATGGTGAGGAATGATACAGTATGCGAAAGCATATGCTAATTTGCCTCTACAGGTGATGTTTGGAGACAAAAGATTGCACAATTAGAATTCATATGATGTCATCATTTCGCTAGATTCACGTCAATTTTGAAAATGGCTGTAAATAGTAACGAATTATAGAGGCACTTCTAATCTCTTTTATGAG